GCAAAAAATAAAAAACGACCAAAAGACAAACAACAGCACACAGAACACAACATAGAAAACTAAAGTCTGAGCAATACGAATCCCACCAAAAACCGAGGGCGATCTCAGTTGCTGCAGGAGGGTTAGCAGATACTGCTCTACACGTGACAACTGATACAATGTGATAAAATGTGTTGATAACTTGTATCAAGAGACTAGACATCACATATGAGATTGGTAATCGGCTCTCACCTAACCCTAAGACATCACCAAATTCGTAAATATTCGAACTCTTAAACTTGACTGAGCGTTAAATCTAGATTGAAAACGCGTTTTTCATGACAAGTATAGACAAGAGTAAAACCGATATGAACATCACAGATATTGAAAATTTAAAAGCACACAAGACAACACTTAAAACCGAAAGAGCAACACGAACCCCTTTAAAACAAAACTTGGTGCTCCGGAAGGGTAAGCATATTCTAATCCATATTGAACACACGTCGTGTGTAAGTACAATGAACAAATCCGTCGTCATCTGTGAAACAGATATTCCGTAACGGGCAACCATCTCGTGATGGCGTCAGTAAAATTTTAAAAGAGATGATTTCAACTTCACCACATGGACCTCTTGGTTTAATAGCTTCCTTGTAAGCAGCAACCCACTATCTATTAACATTATCCTTTTGCTATTTCTGATACATTGTACTTGTAGTTGTCTCCTTGGCAATACAACTTTTTTTCTTATTTTAATAGTGTGCCTACGAAACCGTACAAAAACCTTGTGTAAGTCGATCGAAAACTTTATAAATCTGCATCGTTATTAATCACGTTATTATCATTAAAATTTTAACAATCAATTCAGTATCGGGAAGTAAATGTAAGGCTATAAATTGAACTATAATTATTCATTTTTAGAAATGGGAAAGATAAAAATTCAATTATCTCTAACGTTGAAATAAAATTGTAATTAATCATTTATAATGTTGTTTTAGACAAAATACCTTTTCAGATGGAAACAATTAAATTAGATAGGTACAATACAATGTAATAGAAGCTTCTATTTGTTTATTAAAAAATCGACAAGTTAAACGATTTAGTGATGGTACTTTATAAATGGACGTCATCAAAGAGAAAAAAACGAATGTGAAAATTTAAAACAACTAGTGAACACCACACAGCCTTCAAAAATGATCAAATCCCATAATGTATAACCGGTTTTAAAAGACCCAGCCTGATAGATATTTTTTTAATCGAGAGCCACTGATGTCTTGTGTACACGAAACACGCGTTTTGCATACTGAAGCCTGGTATCGTTGATTTGTTTTGTTTTCCAAAAACCTTAAACGGGAAACAATTATGGCAGACAAGAACCAACGACAACCATTGGACAACATGCTTGTTGGTTGAACAAGGACATGACATAAAGAATGTAGCGGAGTTTGTTTTCTATCGCTCAGCAAATCTAATTCTGGTCTTTGGTCGGGTAATTGTCTCTTTGACACAATCCCCGTTTCCATTCTCTATTCTAGTTTGAAAAATTTAACTCAACAGGAGATAAATCAATAAAGCCACGAGAAAATCGTTGTAGAAAAGTTCTTATAACTTGTTGCTTTGTAAATAATAATATGCATAAATATCTGGATGTGAACTAACAATTTTCAGTTCCTGCAAGCGTAATCATACTTCCGTCATAAATTTGATTCTGTATATACATGTATGATTGTGATAAAAGTTTTAGTATGCACAATTTTCTTATATGTTTAACCCTTGCTTAAATGTTTGAGTTTTTTTTTCAGAAATGAAGTTGTTTGTTTCGTTCAAATCTGAGACGTCATTGAAAGTTAACAAGACTAGATATTTAAATATCAACTATACGATCATGTATAATGATTCCCTAGCATCTTCAGTGTATTAAACATGTATAACACGTTATCAGTCCTGTCAGTCTAGAAAAAAATATGAAATAACTCAATAGAAACGATCTAATATCTGACACCAATACCAAATTTAGGATACACGTGGAGACTGCAATACTCGCTAACACAGTTTCTAGCTATGGACAAGTAATAAAACATTCAGTTTAAACATATTCACAAGTACACAAAACAAACACATCATTTACGACAATAGTAAGAAAAAATCAAACACGAAGCAGGATCTTAATTAAATAATCGATCAGAAATGAATATGATAATGTTTGTCATAATAAATCAACTCAACCATCCAATTTTATGTTAAATTCATTTTGTTCAAATCATATTCAGATCTCGAGTGGATATCATAGTGTATTACTTTTTTAATATCCTTATGTTACTTGTTTCATTACGTGGGTTTTTAAATTTTTTTTATTTCTTTATGAGGTTTACTTTCGTTGCACAGTCTAGATTGATTTTAGAAATTTATTACTTTTGCTGGTAGATTTGTAGTCTGTGCATGTACATGCAAAATAGTACACTAGTTGATAATTCAATCATTTCTTAACGAGGTGCACGTGGTTCATTTTAAGTAAAGACTTCATAAATATTCAAATCTTATTAAACGTAAAAATAAATTCTGTATCCTTAGATAAACATGTAATAGTATGATAAACGGTATAAATGTTACTGCACCAGATGCATTTTGACAATTAATTTCTCTCCAGTTATTGATCTGCTTAACCTTCCGGAGCACCTGAAATCACCTCCAGTTGTTGGTGGGGTTCGTGTTGATCAGTCTTTAGTTTTCAATGTTGTTTTTTGTGTACTATTGTTTGTCTGTTTGTCTTTTTCTTTTTAAGCCATGGCGGCGTCAGTTTATTTTCGACTTATGAGTTTGAATGTCCATTTGGTATCTTTCGCCTCACTTTTATGGCCGAGGCCAACATATTTGAAAATCAATAGTATAGCCAAAAACAGACTACACGGAATCAGAGCTATACACGATGGAGAAACATTCCTTAATTAAAACTGTTTATCTAAATGTATGTTTGATAAAAAAAAGTTTTGGATTTTCAAATATTTTGGCCTCGAGCATTACGGAAGATACATTTATTATCGAAATGTGCATCTGATGCAAAGCAATTTGTACTGTTAATGTTATTCAAAAAACATCCGAACTTCTATTCAAATATCAAAGTACTGAACAACATGGATGTTGGTACCCTTGGAGACCAACAGTCCATCAACAGAGGTATCGACACTGGTGACGTTTTATAAAGTCTGATTAGCAGCTGCAAGCTCTTGAATACCGAATGAGTTGGCAAATGTATATCCCATATGCAGGTGAAGTTGGTATATTGCTGCTTAGGTGGGGGAAATTTATAATCTCAAAATTAAAATCGTCTCGTTTGTCATTGATTCTGGTACTGAGATGACCCCTTGTGTCAAATTCGAGGAGTATAAGTCTACAAATGAGGCGGAGGAAGCCGTGTCTATTATTTCTTTAATTTCTAGTTCTGGAGGATATATTAATGAAACCCAATCAGAAAAGTTTGGATTGTTAATGGAAAGAACATCATCAATATATCTGAATGTGAAATTAAATGATCTGGCTTCTTGGATCTTCTTGTTTTTGATAAGTGTCTGAAGGAACTCCGACTCATATGAAAGTAAGAAGAGGGCGACAAGGAGAGGCGCACAGTTTGTTCAATAGGAATGCCGACAATTTGTTGAAAAAGTCTACTTCCAAATTCCACAAATATGTTGTCAATAAGAAACTCCAGTATACTGATCACTAGTTCCTCTGTTTAGCATGCTTTACCTTTTTGTTCATTTTTAACAAAATATGCCGTATTGCATCCCAAAGCAATACATTTATAGCTATTTATTTCTAAAAAAGTTCAGCGGAAGATAGTAAGACGTTGTTGATAAATATTCCGTATCAACTTCACAAATAATACAGGATGGTCTTGAAGTATAGATTCTAGGTACTGACGTTGTTTATCAACCTAATTACATGTTATAGTGTTCTTTTATTTGGTTTGTAAATTATTAACCTTTACTGTTTAGTCCATTTTTGGTAATATCCTTTTGGCGTGGCTCGGTGCTTATATATCCCGCCATTGTGTTATTGTGCTATGGTCATTTTTTGCATTCTTGTCTTTCATTTGTCCTTATGTGCTTTGTCTATATGCTATTTTCTTTTTCCTTGTTGACATATTTGTTTGTTTTTATAGGGATTAAGATTATAACACAATGTTGACTGTTGTACTCCTATTTTTGACATTTTTTCTTATTATGTCTGTTTGTTTTGTTCACACATTGTTGTCAATATAATGGAATTTTATGCGACTGTCATATAAGTGCGAGACTTAGCTAGCTATAAAACCAGGTTTAATCCACCAATTTCTATATAAGGAAATGCCTGTACCAAGTCAGGAATATGACAGTTGCTTTCCATTGGTTTGATGTGTTTGTGTTTTTGTTTTTGCCATTTGATAAGGGACTTTTCGTTTTGAATTTTCCTTGGAGTTCGGTATTTTTGTTATTTTACTTTTTTCCATTTATATATTGAAAAGAAAACAGTACCAATGTTTTTGTATTAAAACGCATTTTGGTAATAAATGTCTCTTCTGTGATGCTCGGGACCAACTTAATTGAACATCCAAACCATAATTCAAAATTTGAAGACATGATACAATCGATATGACCAGAACTATTAATTTGTGCATTGATTCATATTTCAGATTAGTAAAGCCTACGAAACACGTTGGGACTGAGCACGGTAATATGTACATGGGAATGAAGAGGTGCAATACGGAAAGGCTATATATTATATCATGATTAACGTCACACGTCCTTGGGTATACATAAAACCATAAAAAATTGTAAATCTTAACAAGAAAAATCACTTTATTCAAATTGCATATAAGAGTGTGAACTCGAACAATGTAGTTACAACAGTTAAAAATTACGTAATATCACAAATTTGATAAAAATAACACATAAAACTTTAATATATTAATTTTGCAGGATTACACGACAATGGTTTTCTTGCAAATATATGTTAACTTTTATATAAGTCTTCAAACTATCATATCGCTAAGGTCTCCAAAGATTTGGAAGGTCAGGGGGTTCTTGTCTTGGTATTCCCCGCAAAGGAGGTAGCACCTGGCAACGACTTTTAGCAAGATCTTCATCGCATACTGTGGTTCTCATTTTTAACATGTTAAATGCTTGTGTTTTAGGAATAAGATCAGGAATACTCTCGTCTTCAATTTCTTGAACACCCATGGTACGCATTCGCCGCAAAACTGTTGCCTTAGTTACTTGTTGATTGCCTTTTATTTCAATAACACCTTTCTTAGGCTGAACTAACCAAGGATTTTCTTTAACTGATATTGGTTTTTGTTGAATTTCGAAGTCGATCTGAGTTCGCGCTCTAGCTATGTTTCGATCATTATGACCATGCTTTGAATGCGAATGATAAATATTCCTTAAGTTTTCTATTCTTTCTTCATACTGTTCGTCGTTAAGTTTTGGTTGACTTATTTTGTTTTCAGGAACATACTGCTTGATGCTTAGGCTTAACCTCTTCCTTTCTTTTGATCTTTTGAAATTACTTGTTGCGCCACTTGAAATTGTAAATATTGAAGAGTTATCATCGAAACGATCGCTTGTACTATTAGTCGATCGCTTTGGTTGCTCAGAACCGGTTCCAAAATTTAAAAGCGTTGGTGCCGATTTCGATAAAATAGGTTTATCCCCATTTTCCTTCTTATCTTCAGGTGTTGAATTTATTAGACGTTTGACATCATTTTGATTATTTTTGTCACTTTGGTTCTTTTTTGTTTCCATTTTGTTATCCTCTCTTACTTGATCTGATTTTTCATTTTCAATACTTTCTATAGGTACTACAGAATTTTTTGAGTGAATTATCTTTCGCTCTTGTTTTTGCCTGGTTTGTTTTGGTGGCTTTTTGTTTAAACTTTCAAAGAAGGTATTGTTGAATACCATTTTTGCAGCTTTGTCTGGCCGTAAAGTATTGTTGTTTGATTTTTTATAATAATCTTCATGTTTATTTTCTTTAGCAAGTGGTCTCTCCTGCAATGTATTATCAATCGAAGTTACATTCAACTGACGGGGGATGCCCTTTGATTTCATAGACATATCATTATGTGGAGTGGAAGTTTCATTTTCTTTCTGGATATTGATTGATAATTTTTCCTTTTCCTCAAAGAAACTTATTTCTTTTTCAAAAAGATCATTACTTGATTCTGATTTTGTCAATACACTTTGTTTTTCACAATATGTTAATCTTTTATTATGTTCTTCTGCCCTATTGTTATTTTTATCGTTGTCCCTTGTCTTATTAGATTGTGTTTCTTCTTGATTCTTACACGTGATTGTTTCCACTACTATTTTGTCTTCCTTCTTGTCCGTTTTTGCATTTTCCTCGTTTTGTTTATTTGATATTGGTGAAATTGTATTAGAAACAGTTTTCTTTTCAATGTTTAAATCTTCATTTATTTCCCTCTGTTGAATTTCTGATTTTGGAGATTTAAACATTATCGTTTTCTTGATTTCATTTGTAATTTCTTTATTTTCGTTAGTGCGTATTTGTTCTGTTCCTGAATTTGTATTCTCTGTTTTTATGCCTAGCTTACTAATTTCTTCTGTATCTAATAATCCATGTTCATGAGGTTTAGGTATTGTCTTTGTCTTCTCAGATTTCGATATTTCAGAATTTTGTTTGTCATGTTCCACATTTTCAACATGCTGTTTATCTAATACTCTATTGTCTGTTTTACCTTTTTGTACTTTACCTCCTTCTTTGCTCCTTAATTTCTTATCGGGTTTGGTGTTGATATCCTTCTTATCGGGTGTAGTTTCGATATCCTTCTTATCGGGTTTGGTGTCGATATCCTTCTTATCGGGTGTAGTTTTTATATCCTTACTATCGGGTGTAATTTTGATATCCTTCTTATCGAGTGTTGTTTCGATATCCTTCTTATCGGGTGTAGTGTCGATATCCTTCTTATCGGATGTACTTTCGATATTCTTCTGATTGGGTTTTATTTCGATATCCTTTTTATAGGATGTACTTTCGATATTCTTCTTATCGGGTGTAGTGTCAATATCCTTTTTATCGGGTGAAGTGTCCAAGCCTTTGATTTGACTTTTTAAATTTCGCTCATTTCTTAGCTCTGATTTAGTATCAGTTCGTTCTTTTTCGTTTATTTTGTCATTATTTTTTATGTCGCTTTCATTATCAATATATGATGCTCTTGTTGACTTGGCTGCTTCTTTTTCAGTATGTTTAGCCGGATTCTTTTCGGTTTCAATTTTAGTCGGAACCATTTTCTTTTCCTTTGGAATCTCATCTATCTTATTTGACTTTTTAATTTTAGATACAGATGAAGCTTTTGCTTCTTTCTTTGTAGGTGGGTCTGATTCATGTGACGAGTTGTGTTCATTGGTTTGTTTAATACTATTTTCTTTTTTGACTTTGATACTATTTTCTTTTTCGACAATACTTTTTTTTCCAGAACTTTTCTTTTTGTCCTTGTTATTTTGAGCTGCATTTCTTTGCTTGGAATTTTCCTTTTCCTGTTGTGTGATATTATTTTGATTTTGCTCTTTTACCACCGTTGCATACGCTGGTGGTGGGGAATGTTGTTGTGTTTGAACTACACGTGGTGATTCTGAATTTCCCTCTATCTCAGCCTCGGAACCACTCTCTGATGTTACAACGACAGGTCTGGGTGCCGATCGACCAAATTTTTTGTGTACCTTCTGCTTTGTTTTTTTAGCCTTAGATTTCTTCTTGCAACAAATGACACAGATCAGTATTATGATGATCAAAATCAATAGTGCTGTTACAGCACATGCAATTATTATATATAGTAAGGTATTGTCTTCTTTTTTACCTGCAACAAAATATTTGTAAAAATAAAAATTCTAAATAACTGGTATGTGGCATAATTATTTTTTTAAGCAAATGATTTAGTAACAACATAATTTGTTCATGAATATACTTGGTTCTTTCTTCGAGTGGTTTAATCTGAGTTTCATATTCATATATAAATAAATTTGAAACATAATGGTTTGAAAAAAAATGATATCTCAAAGTGCTTATGACAAAATGTTTCAAAAAGATGAATGTGCCAAAATAAAAACGAAAATTTGTCAGCTCGTATCAAATTATTCATAATAGGTTGCAGTATTAAAAGTTGTTTGAATCTTAGTGAATTATGCCTAAATGTGTAGAGTTGTATCATTGGCAATCATACCACATCTTCTTTTTTATATTTGTGTCTTTTTTGTTTATAGGGATGTATAAATACCCTGCCACGTCTGGTCTGTTTTTGTTTTTTGTTTTGTTAGATTTGTTTCTGCTTTATATCGATCTTTTGACCTACGCCCTTTTCAACTATTTTTTATTTGTCCTTATAATATTGTGCTGTAATACTACATTTCCAGGTAAGGGGGTTGGTTGAGCACTCACAAACATGTTTAACCCCGCCACATTCTTTATGTGCATGTCCCAAGTCAGGAGCTTGTAGTTCAGTGGCTGTCGTTGGTTCATGTCTGTCATATTTGTTTTTCGTAAATTGTTTGTTATAAATAAGGCTTATCGTTTTCTCAATTGAATTGTTCAATATTTTGCATGTTCTGGCCTTTTATAGCCGACTATACGGTATGGCATTTTTTCATTGTTGAAGGCCGTACGGTTGCTAAATGTACTTGCTTATTTTAACTTGGTTGGATAACTGTCTCATTGGCAATCACACCACATCTCCTTATTTTTATATTTTTCATTCTTACATACTTGCAGCGACTTGTACGGTTGTACTAACTGTACTTGTTGGTGCTCCCTCTAGTATGTAGCTTAGCGAAAAACCTTCTCTGGCAATTGTGTCGTCAGTTGAGAAAAGAATGTACATAGTACCATCTGTACTCTGTACTGTGGGTGGAGGAGGATCTTGAGAACCACAACACGTTCGCAAGAGAGGAGGTGCGCTTGAGTTGGAGCCTATTGAAAAAAAGTGTACAACGTATTAAAAATTGTAAAATATAAAATCAACCCACAAGAAAAAAAGTATTTTTCTGGTTATTTATATGTAATCATGGTTATATATGTCTGTAAAGAAATAATCTCAAATGCCAAAATATACCCAAAAATTGAATCACACACATTGATCACCAGGAGTACAATCCATTTCCTACAAACATCAATTAATACACTGACTAGCTCTACAGTATTTGGTATGTATGAATGCACTATCACTAGACTTTATATGTGAATAACCAATATAAGTGACTGTATCTGCAATGTGAAATAGAATACCGGGAAAATGATTGAAGGATCACTTGCTATTAAAATAATATTTATTGTATTATTTTTATCACCCATGAATAGAGAAATGCCATTGTGGGATTCAAATGTTTTGTTCGCATTTTTTGGATAACACCTGTCACAGTGCCAGTTTTTGGAAAATTATAAAAGTGTTAATTTTTCAAAACGTCGATTTGCCATCAATTTCAATGATTGTTTTTTTTCCTTATCAAAATATCGATATCAGCGAATTTGATGGCAAACCGACGTGACATATTTTCGAATTCCCAAATTAGGTTCGGAAAAATTATTCCGTGTGTTTGTTCAGTTGGGTGGACCATGATTGTATTTAATTTCATTACTGTGATTTGAATTTTAAACTGCATTTTCTTCAAAAGACCAAAGATTAAAATGTATCCATCTCTGTTTGTTAGAGCTTAATTAAAGCATACCATAAAGATGCAATGAGAATATGTTCTGTTAGTCCTTATCTTTTTTTGTTCGGTATAGACGTCTTGTGCTTTACATATGTATGAAAATGCTTTCTGGTTCTATGGTTCGCTTTCGGATACTACTTGCGTATAAGAAATTATTAGTTGGTTTTAAAGATTTTAAAGTTATACACACCATCGTAAAAAACGATTTCATCATTTATACAAAATCCCTTGTCATTGCCAGTCTCTAAGATACATGCCACGAATCTTATTGTAATATTGTAGTTTGCTGTTTCTCCGGTTATCAACCAGTCTCGAGAATAATTACTGCAATCAAAAAATTAACATGTATATATATTGTACATTGAGAGTATCTGCATCAATTTTACTGGCTACAATAGGGAAAGACATCAGTGTAGTAGGTAATCTTCAGCTCTATCGTAATATCATATATACTTACAACTAAAATCCATCTGTCATGGGTGACCAAAAATTATTTTATTTTTTTTTTTTAATCTAGAAAGTAATTGATGTAGGTTACCTTAAAAAAAATAGATAAAGTGTGTCCATTCCCAATGTATATATATATAAATAAGTCTAAATTGAAAATAACGTTCAAACCTATGATGGCGTTGGATAAAAACCGCAATTTTTATACGTGTGCATGCAAAACAAATTTCTTGGTAGAGGGTCTAAATACAGCACAAACAACATTTTCTAAAGACCAAAAAGTAAAAAAGTATATTTAAACAAAACGCATTTGACTAACAGGTCGAACAACGGATGTTCTTAAACCCTGCTGACTGCCATTGGCGATTGCCAAATAAACGGATCTAAAGATGTAACAAAATGGATCTTTATTATTAATTTAATACCAAACAGAAAACAATAAACTTGCGAAAAAGATGGTATACCGCAAACATGAGGTGCAAAAATTTGTACACCATATCCGGATTTCGACAATTAATGTCTCTTCAGTGATGTTAGGAATCGAAACGGTATTTGGAAGGCCATAAATACCACTTTTTTGGTCTTTTGGAAAATGTTGTTTGTGCTGTTTTTAGACCCCTTTACCAAGAATTATTTTTTGCATGAACACGTATAAAAATTGCAGTTTTTATCCAACGCAATCATAGGTTTGAACGTTGTTTTCAATTTAGACTTGTTTATATTTTTTTGTTTGGGCTTGTATTATATTCGCCTTCGGGTTTATATGATCCGTTCATCCTATTTCGACTCTTCAAAATTCAAGAGTCTATCCTAAATTGAGGTAAATTATATCGCCTTCCAAATACAGTTTCGATTCCTAACATCACTGAAGAGACATTAATTGTCGAAATCCGGATATGGTGTACTAATTTTTGCACCTTTTGTTTGCGGTATACCATCTTTTCCGCAAGTTTTATGTTTTCTGTATGATATTAAATTAATATTTAAGATCCATTTTGTTACATCTGGTGAACATTAAATTTTTATTTGGCAATCGCCAATGGCAGTCAGCAGGTTAAAGAACATCCGTTGTTCGACCTGCTAGTCAAATGCTTTTTGTTAAAATATACTTTGTCACTTTTTTGGTCTTTTGGAAAATGTTGTTTGTGCTGTACCCCTAGACCCCTTTACCAAGAATTTTTTTTTGCATGCACACGTATAAAAATTGCGGTTTTTATCTAACGCAATCATAGGTTTGAACGTTGTTTTCAATTTTCTATAGCCATCATCGACTATCTTTGATAGGAACTATCGTAAAGTTGTTGCAAGTAGAGAGGAAAAGATATAATTTGGTTTCTTTGGTTTTTGTATTTTCAAGTGTTACATGTCATACGAATTTCTATCAATCAGACGATAACTGTAAACAAAAAAGTACTAAGATACTATCAGATTATAATATGGCTCTTTGGCTGATATTGCACCTTGGGTTGATAATACATCTGATATGAAAAAATGAAATGTTTTGATCTTTTTATCATATGCGTTAACAATGGAGAAAAATTAAAGTTTAATACATGGATCATTTTAGGTGGTTCTCAAGAAGAAGTTCTAAAAGTGAAAAGTTTACGGACGACGGACGCCAAATGTAATACATTCGATATGAAATCTTTTTATCATATGCCTCAACAAAGAAGAAAAACAACAGTATAATATATTTTTATATTGACCATAAAAAAAATCAACAAAATATAACGAAGACTGTTTTGGAAAAGTCAACATTTGTAAAGTAACTTGCTAAATTATGCTGGAAACTTTGAAAAATTGCATCATCTGTTTTGTATTTTGCATAATATATTTTCCTCGTTTCCTAATATTTGTTTTGTACCCTTCTTTGTTATAGCTTTCACTGAAAACGTACCATTGAGGTGTATTTTCCGGAATTTGCCGAGTAACGTCTAAATAGGCCCCTAACATGGAATTTTTATTTTAACGTTACAGAAAGGCATGCGATAATAGCGGAAGCAGTTGATTAACTTTTCATATCAGCCAGCAAAGCATAATTTCGGAAAATATGGATTTCACTTAAATGTAATGCTATTATCATACTGTAAAAATTATAACTGATTTACCCCAAGTACATGATAAATAGGGCTATTCACGTTTATATATTAAGCTTTTTGCTCGCATGATTCAACGTATTATGTGTATCTTTCTCGATTTTGTCTGGCTATGTTGTAACATAAAATTCATTATCTTGTAAACACGTGTATGGTTATAACATCCGTATACCAATCTAGAAGGATTCATGTTTTTTCTTTCTTTCCTAGTTAGATCCAATTGCCAATTTAAAAAATATGTTAGCATTAACTTACCCTTCTGGGTAATATACAACACCATTATAAGCATTATGTGACACAAATGTTTGTAAGTATGGGGTAGCTGTCAGGCTGATGGTACCATTAGCTCCTAAAAAAGAAATAAAATGTTGTTTGTTTTTAACGTTTTTCTCGCCATTGAGGTAATGCATGTTGCCTTAAATGATAATTTAGTAAATAAAGTAATTATTTTGCGATGTGAACTTTTAATTGGTACATTAGCTTAAAAAGCATTTACTATTTTTTACACACGTTTTTTATTACTTCAGCCGGACCATAGAAAATTATTGTCCTTTGTGGCCTGTCATGATTTTCCTTTTACTGATCAGTTACATTTATGATTTTTGTTTATTTGCAAGTATTCGATTATATTGTGAAAGATCTTTTCATTGTCCCTTTTCCATTTGCAAAATAGGAAACATAATATATAGTTTAATCAAAACTGTTTGTCAACCCCCTAGAAGTTGATACTTAGCATAGCGATGAAACGTACGATAATGATCTATCCTATCTTTTTTCATAAATATTCAAAATCAAATATGTAGAAAATAGACGTTTTACAGCTTTTATATTTTAATTCAATATGAAGCGTCTATTTGAAAAAAATTAATCTGGAGTAGAAACAATTGTCTCATTTGTTTCCATGTTCTCATATCCAAGAAAAATCGCCTCAATAACTCAAATGAAACCATGTAACTCTCATTTTATTTTCGATTAATCACAATTGGAACTTAAACGATTAAGCTAGCAAGGATAAGTGTATTGTAAACACAAAGGGGTAACATATTTGATTGACATTAAAATAAAGCAGGCATAATACAAAGAAGAAGTATAAACCAGCAAACCGGTCAAAAAAAAAAAACAGACCAACAATGTCACAATATTGTAGAAGGGAAGCTCAGAATTGAGTTAATTTAGAAATCATGGGTAACCCAAAGGACATTAAAACATCAGCTGCCACATCTTTATCATCGACATCTTGATTTGAAAGTCATATACAAAAATAATTTTCATAGTTTTGCTTTTTATTATCTAACTTAAAAGACCAAGAGCAAATCTAAAATTGGAATTCATTTTTTTTTTTTACATTCAAAAGACAAATGTTGATAATGAGAACAGTTTAGCTTCATAAAAAATACTTCTTATCTGATGTTTGAGTACGCATATTACCCAAAAAGGGTTGAATTGGGAATCAAAATATGGACATTCATTGGCTACTTCCTATTCGGATATCTTGTAGTTAATTTATAGTAGTGAGGGGTCCATTAAACTCTTCGGGATGGATTAATATGCAGCCTTGTCCAGACCAGACGGAAAAGGGTGGTTAGTTGACCGTTATGTACAGAGAGAGTTCTGTGCTTATTCACGCTATAGATCACTTGCAACAACTATTTAAGGGCTTTGTGTTGGACCTAGAATCCTCGAGAAACAATTTACGAAAAACAAATATGACAGACATCAACCAACGACAACCACTGAACTACAGGCCCCTGACTTGGGACAGGCACATAAAGAATCTGACGGTGTTAAACATTTTTGTGAGCGCTCAACCCTCCCCCTTAACTGGGACAGTGGTGTAACAGCACACCATAAGAACAAACTATAAAAATTTGTTGAAAAGGGCTTAACTCATCAGATCGATACAAAGCAGAAAAACATAAAATAAAAACACAGACCGGAAGTGGCAGGGTATTTATCCATCCCTCATCCAAAGCAACAAAAAGGACACTAAGTGCAGATCTCGATTTACTAATCATTTATTTGTTGTATTTTCAGAAACTCAGTTTCATTTAAAGATAAAAATAAACATTAACTGAAATGTAAAATTATTTATCTAACATTTAAAATCAATGCACATCATTTGATTGCCGTCTCGAACTGTAATTCTATTCGAGCTATATGCATATCCTGATTCGGAGTCTAGTAATTATAAATCACTTCCTTGAACCACTGTGAGAGAAGAAAAATAAAATATGTTTCACATTGTATCTTGATTCATTGCAAGTTTTAAAAAAAATCAACTATTCAGGCAAACAAGTGTTGTATGCAAATTAACAGAAAACAATTGTCTTATTTTTCTTTTTTATATTCTTTGCAAAATTATACATTTTATAAAACAATTACGAGCTGAAGGTGTAATTTCAAAATTATATGCATAAGTTCCCCTCCTTCATTATTAAAATTTCAAACTAGCAGTATCGATTTTATAGTACAGTGCTAATTTGGTACAGTGTACCCTATCTACCGTAATACCGGATGTAAAATGTTACTTCTCTAGTATTAGAACCTATGCACAAATTGAATATGCATGTTTTTAGGATTCGAGAGTACACATTTTCAATTCCTTATTATCCAACGTAGAATAGCACTCACATATAACAGGCCTAAATAATGATAACAATTTAAAAGATTTGTTTCAGTAACCAGTACTTCAACTTTTAGACGGATAAATGAGCAGCGGCCAATAAACACACTGTACACGTCATCTAAATGTTTTGATTTACAAAAAATGTAGCTTCACTAAAATATTCTCAAATATGATAAACAAAATATTTTGACGTATACCATATTTGCATTATAATTCAAATTAATAAATGTTTGCTGTATGCTTGTTGACTATACACAATAATTTGGGAAATAAGCATTTCCCCTCTAAAATATGAATAATCAGTTTTACTAATTTGAGTATTGGTCAATGAGACAGCAACCCACAGAATAAAATAGACCAACTTTTTTTTTAAAGACACTTAACGAGAGGTAAACATAAGTGTACCTATCCCGTAAGGAGCCTGTAATTCAGACTAAGTGGTTGTCGTTTGTTGCTGTATATCTTATTGTATTTGTCTTTCGTTCATTTTTTGTACATAAATTAGGCCGTTAGTTTTCTCGTTTGAATTATTGTTTAACATTAATTTTTCATTTCGGGGCCTTTTATAGCTGACTATGCGAGATGGGTTTTGCTCATTCAGTGTTGAAGGACGTACGGTGACCTATAGTTGTTAACTTCTATGTCATTTTGGTCTCTGATGGAGAGTTGTCTCAGGCAATCATACCACATCATCTTGTTTTCAACAATAAAAATGTGTCTATACAATATCATTCCCTTATAGGTCTGCATCGCCAATAAATTGTCCAAACATATCAACAGTCTTACATGTACATTTCCAATACAAATATGTAATGTGGTAAATGCATTTAAAACAGAGTTGTTGTTTTACCTTTCTTTTCCATTTCATCATTTTGATTTCCTGTTTAACCAATAATACTAGAATACAACGCATGAAAATAGTCCGATAAGAAAAATGAAAAGCACGTTCCACAAGGAAACCTTTTATGGATTTGCTTCTTCGAATGCAAGCTGCTAAATCAAATAGGTGAATGAAGCGGCATAGATCTCACACCTTCCTCCATCGGATAAAATGAACCCTTTTTTATGAAGTATATATGTATCGCGCGACCAAAATTGATAGTATTCAAAAATTATTTCACTTTTAATATAAGATTCCTAATACCCGAAATTAACAGACATTAAATACTATGGACTCATCTATTTTCGTGGATGCTTATTTTCGATGATTGAGGAAAACTTACATTTTCGTGGATATTTGATTTCGTGGATTAATTAAAGTCTGTATACCAGTATTTAAAATGAGTACTTAGTTGACAATTCAAACTATTGGATCCTTTGTCTTAAGATTTTTCATGTGCGCGTAGTTATTTTGTGTCATGAATATATCCTTTTCCCCCCTTAAATCTGATATACAATCTTTATTTCAAAGTCTTTATATACACTTTGATGACTTGTAACCCAAACTCTGATTGTATATATATAATAAGCTCTCCATATTGCTTTAATTAAATCAATTTGAAAGAAATACAAAAATAAAAAATGTCATACAATTTTTTTTCGGGAGGGGGATTATATTATTGTTTGACCCATATAAGGGCGTAGATGTCATACTAGTTGTTAGGGGCAGACAATTTGGCTTCTTTATGGAATACTTCAATGCCAGGGTGCCTAGGCTTGATCATACAAATTTTGAATAAATTTGGTCAACTTAAACAAAAACTAGAGAAACCTGTGACGTATACATTTTTTACTGGCTGCTACCAGCCTTTCTCTCGTAACCTACAACGAATTTTAGAATAATGTTGAAAGAATGTTAAGTGATTGTTAGAGACAAATAACGAGTAATTTTATATACATGTTCATTACTTCCATATATTTGATAACATTATCATCAGGTTAAAAGTTTACCACTTCATATTAGATTATTAATACTATCCAAATACAATAATATACAACTGTGACTTCATAACATAAATGACAGTTGGAGACTGATTAAATATTTAGTTATAAAAATGTGACGAATCGTTTAAACATACTCTCGAAAGGACAATTAATACTCAAACATCTACACCCAATGTTCTAAATCCTGGTTTAGCATGAGTTATATAAATTTATTTATTATGAATGATCCAATATTTAAAAACTGTTAAATAAAAGAAAAAAGTGAAAGGCGTTTTAATTTCCTTTAAGCAGCAAATGTTCGCAAAATTTGATCAAACGGAAGCAAAAAGGATTTTTAATATAAAAAAAGTACACTAAAAATGGCGTTGTTTAAATTGACTGAAGGATTTCAGGAATGAAGACATTTGAAAGGGAAAAGAAAACCAAACTGACATCGGCCCATTTACATAAAAGCAGGAACAAACAGTTGTTATGTAATTGATAATACAGAGGTTAAGCAAACGTGTGTGTACGTGAACACACAAGAGTATCATAAAAAATGAGAGCTATATTGTATATTGGATTACATTAGTAAAAGCACAATTTATTAATCTTTTAAACCAATTCAAAATCTATTTGAAGAAACAGGATTGATGATTTGTCAATATTTTAACTAAACAGCATTTTTTTAAAAGTTCAATTTAAGTTGAAATATGACTAAGTACATTGAATTGTAATTAGTAAAATTCTTAATCATAATTAATTGTAAAATTCTTTTGTTCAAAAATGGATTTTTGTCGATATCGATAAGTTTTGCGGATGTAAAAAGTTGCATTCAAACAATCCGATAAAATTT